ATATATATATATATATATATATATATATATTTTTATACTCAGCAAAACAAACTAATTATTTTTGTCTTTCTGTTTCTTTTTTTTCGTTCCTTTTTCTTTCTGTTTTTTTTTTTAATAAACAAATTAATTGTCAGATAATTATACAATTGATAAAACCTCTAGATAACCTCTCTATATAATTGTTAATATTATATTAATAAATAAATAATTATAATTTCTTTCTTATCATTAATACGTAAAATTATTTCAATGACATTTTGTACGATAAAGAAACATTCCTGGTGTATAATGAAATTGTACAGGATGAGTCGACTAAACTGTGCAACCTAATAATAGCATTTAGTTACAATGATATTAAAAAAAAAAAAAATTACTTTCAAGGACAAAGTTGAACTATTGCAATATAGAAATTAAATGGTTTATCAAAATGGTTAAAATACTTCACACATTGCGTACGGCACACTATTCGCGCAACACACTTCCAGAGATCGCACATTTTTGGGTGTAGTTCTATGTTTAATAAACGACGAGATATCTCGTCTTTCGCACTCAATGTGTTAATTTTGTAATCTTTGTATCGTTGATTAGACTTACACGTTTTTCAATCTTCACGTTTCATACATGTATTTTTATTTAATACTACTGTCATATATCTATCATTATAATCAAACAACAATTACTACGATTAATTGCACTAATGGGTTGAACTTTTCAAAAAAAAAACAAGCCAAATATACAAATTCTATGCTTGTTGATTGTCCAAAGAAACAACCACTTTGATATTATTAAATAATCGTGTTTAATAATGAGATAACTCGAAACACATAAATGAAACAATCAAAACTACAAGAAGAACACATACTAACACACAAATCTTAATTTCATAATGAAATTTGAATCTTCTCGATTTTATCTTATTGAGAAGAAACATTTTTACTAACTGAATGTAAAAACGTGTAAGGGAATTCTTCGGCATTTTTGAAATGAAACATTTCTTTAGAATTGGAAACAAATGAAATGCGGTGATGTAGTGGGGGAAAAGAAACGGACGATGTAGTGGGGGGAAAAAAGACAAAGAGACAAACATATAGGATTGTGCTTGCGAGAAAGTGAGACAGAATATAGCTATACAGTTTTTGCAATTTTTGGTCTCTTCTTTGTGCTCTGCTTTGTAATTATCGTTTCTTGTTGTACATCTGTGTATTTGTGTTCAATTGTATACTACGAAGCGTAAACTCATATACAATAATTACAATACTAAATTGTTTCAAATCACCCCCATTCTAAAGAAGTTTTAACTTCAAAAGGAAAAGGATAAATAGTTTATGATTAAATTGTAATAAATTCATTTTTGTTTTAAATATTGTAATTTTGTCTCTTTGTTCTTCACGAGGATGAATATAACCTATAAGTTTGTACGCATTAACTTGCACCCCCATATTTTGTAATATTAATATCAGTTGTGCCTCGTCACGCGTTACTGTGGTTCAGTTTGATTAAATAGACAAACAAAAATCTAAGAAATCATAAGTTTCTAACCTCCCTCTTCCAAGACGAACTCGATTTCCGTCCTTCCAACCCTTTATGGAAACCTTAATCTTTTCCTAAACGAAAAAAACGTATAAACGACACTTTCCTGTGGAAGATAACCTGATTTACCCGCTCTCTCTTTTAGAAGGTATTTCAAAATAATTGAACTCAATTTCAACACAATGTAACACTTAGCGCTCGTGGCCCTTTTCGGCTTGGGCGAACCAACAACTCGAGAAAATCTGTGTTTATTGGGTTCAGTAAACTTGATAAAACTTTATTAGATAAGATATTGTTTTGAGCCATTCTGAAAAACATCGTGTAACTCTACATCTTATCAAAGAATGAGATCACGAGTATACTCGTGAAACGATATTCGTTAAATCGAACCTAAGTATTGGATTGGCAACTAAGTAATTGCGAATTTTATTTTACATTTTATTGTTTTTCGATAGCATCAAAGATCAGAAATTTTACGAAATTGGCATTTTAACGTTGCCTGACTGACGACTGACTGAGGTCATCAACAAAAATGGACAGGACCTAATTAACTAAACTTATATTTGCAAAAATTTTGCAATTTTCTTTCTTATTTCAAATCCGCAATCACTTAATTGCCAATCTAATAAATATCACTATCATTCGATATACCGCATCGATCTTAATGGAGCTGCAGTGGAACCCTTTGAAAGTAAAGGGTTAAATATTAGAAATATTCAATTAAATCCATTTGATTTTCAAATAAACATTAAATGTTAATATTGAAAAGTCAGACTGACCATTAATACATTAGTAATATGCTCATCGTTAAGTTGTACAGAATTATGTTAACAAAGACAATCACTGGTTCCTTCAGTTGTCCTAATTTACTTATCACACCCACCATTTGTTTGACTACTTCCTGTATTCTTTCTCGAAGCCTTTAGATCATTTTCGATGAATTAAAGACTGAATTTTTCGTAATTTCCAGATCGGGAATGTTCAAGAGACTTTGGAGCATTCATCTTACTCAAAGTGTAAGCTCCAGGTCATTTTGTCTATGACCACTTTCAATTGTCATTGTTTCGCGTTGTGCCGTGTCGCCTCAGCGGCGACAACTGAGTGCAAAAGGGTAAAATATAAGATTGTATTTAAAACAATATTAAGTTGACCAATAAAATGACTTATTCTAGCAAAAAAAAAAAAAAATTGTATTCCTAAATTTTTCATGTAACTTTTGTTTCAGCCACTTTTGTGCTACCATCATATTTTTGAAGCTATTTAGGTGACAATAGTTGCTCAATATGTATGTTGAAGGTATAGAAGGTCGAAGATAAATGAGCTGCCTATTTTAAAAATGGCCTGACTCCATTTATGTTCGAATCGAGGTATTGAAGGATTTGTGTTTCAATACAATGAAAAATATACGTACAAGATACTAACGAGTTAGACTGCTTTAAGTGTAGCTAAAGGCTTTCAATTTATATTTTCTATTAAAATAGTGGCAATTATTAACTACAATTGGAGTTAGGTCATTGTCCAAATTAACAATTTGATTTGTTATAAAATTTCGAATGAGACTTAACTCCATTCAACATAATTTAAGAAGCTACAAATTGAAAAAAAAAACAAAACAATACTCAATTTATTGTACATATCTTTAAAACACTTGAGAAACATAATTTATGCGATTGAAAATATTGTTTTAACTACATAACGTACAAAATTACAAACATAACCTACAAAACAATTGACTACTCATCTAAATTTTGTGTGTGTTTGTGTCTGTGTGTGTGATACACAAAATTGTAACAAATTTTCTTGGTTACAATATCTTCATGATTTTAAATATATTTGTAACAAATTGCTTTAGAATGAAAATATTCTGTAAAAATGTAACTATTACTGTAGCTAAGACGATTTTTTTTTTTGGAAAATGGAGATGGGTCATTTTCAAAATAAGCTGCCTATTAATATCCGTCTTTGTTTAATTTTATATTAATTTCCTTCCTTTTGTTTTCAATTATTTCGCAGTTGTTTTTACTCGATCATTTTTTTTTTTTTTT